TTTGTGTCAGGATCAAAAAACAGGGGCTTTTGTTTTTTTTTTGTGAAAAGTTCATTTTTTTTGGCCAATGAAGCTTTTAGCAATTATTTAAAATGCATCTGATCACTCTACACAATAATCTAGAAACAAAGTGAATGAACACCACAACAGCTTAAGCAGCAAACCTTGCAAAACACAAAATTTCTATTACGGCCAAAACTTTTGGCCATGACTGTATACAGTTCTAACACTTTCTAGTCTTATCTCCATGTGTTGCATAAACTGCCATAACTAACTTGTGTCTATGATTAGGTTGTTTGACTTTATCTTGTTACACATCATATTAAATGCCATAGATAAATCTAGCCTTAAACCTCATTAACCTCATTAACCAATATAATGTAGTCTTTTAAGATTCTCGGTTTTTTGAAAAAAGTTATATGCCTGAACTGGTGCAAGAGCGTTTTAAAAGGTTAGAACACATCATGTTTGTTTAATACATCACTACAATTTCCGTTATTTCAAACTAATTTTATAAATCGAAATTAGAGGGGTCTGCCGTTGATAGGCTATGCTTACCTCAAGTGAACGCGATTAGTTTGCAAATTTATCCTATATGAAAATTCCGAAATGTTTATATACTTAAATGTTTATAAACATATAGGCCTATAGCCTATTTTATTTGTAAAAAGATATAATAGTATTTTGAACATATTTTGAATTCTGAATTAGCCAATATAACAAAAAAAAATGTATACATCTAAGAAATGAATATATACAATAATATAAATATAAATGTCTAAAATAAATATTTTGTCAACTTCTTAATTTTTAATAAAATATAATCGTTGTAGTTTAGATTAAAAAAATAAATAAAAAAAAACCCGAAGGAGGCTCCTTGGTGTCACACGTAAAATATGCAAATACAAAAGTGTTGTTCTCAGCGATGAATGGCACGTTGCTTCATGAACTGGTAGATTCTGACTGTACACCTGTTGCCAGGTGTGAGGACAGTCGCAACAGCCGAGACAGACAACAAACACCTCAGCACGCCAACGACACTAATCACTGCTGTCGGAAGTTTATGGGCATTTGGAATATCTGCAACGATTGAAGTTCATGATAACCTTCTCACAACCCCAATTTGTAAACGCCTGGGTCCCACATAACCAGGATTTACCTTCTCAGGTAAGTAGCCTATTCTGTAGACTAGGATATGAGAAAAGCCTTTGATAAGTCTTTCTTTCATACTTAGTCTTTACTATGTTTTTTTCTCTTAATGTTCTGTAATGTTTCTGCCAAGGTTAGCATCTGTGGTTCAATGAAGAACATTCCATTTTTATAAAAGGTTCTTTATAATGGAAAAAAAGTTCTTTAGATAATTAAAATGTTCCTTATAATAAGAAAAAATGGTTCATTTAAAGGTTCTTTGGGGAACCAGAAATGGATTTTAATGGAATCGATGAGAAAATCCTTTTTAAACTTTTTTTTTTGAGAGAAAGAGAGAGTTTAGAATGTCTGCAAAACTAAGTATTTTCTCCCAACAGTATGTTTTGTTTTAATTTGCAGAAAGAAGTTCTAAAATGTTTGTGGCACTGTCAAATAAAATAAGATAGTTTAGTGAGCTTATTGGTTTAGTTAATAGCCAGTATCAATCTAACTTATTATTCAATGAGAAAAACATTTATTACCTTTAACAAATTGATATAGAAGCCACTAAGTTTTACTTCGCCAGGCGAAAGACATGACCAAAACACCTAAACAAGTGACAGCCAATGAGCTCACACAGGACAACAATCAATCTGGGGAAGGCAAATGGAGCTCAGAAGAACAAGAGGTGAGAATGAATATGCACGCTTTTACTAAGATTAAATTGGTAGAAGTCACATGGCAGCACTGTATTTACTTCCATTTATAGATATGATCTTTAGCAGAATTATATTGTACAGTTTGCTGTATTTTGTCCTGCAAAAGATTACAGACACTGTATCATGATGAGATTACACAAATGGCATTGATTGTTAAATGTTGTGAGATATTAGTAAGCTCTTGGGCATGTGAAACGTGTTGTTCCTGGGAGCATGCAGCTTTTAAAGTATCTATTTCACAGATTCACAAACATTGTATGTATAAACATGTTTATTTATTTATTGCTGTGTTTTACCTCACAGGTACTAGAAGTCAGTGGGCAGTGCATAGCAGCACCTCAGTCACCTGAAGCATTGCTCTACACTAGTTATAAACAGAGGAGTGACGAGTTTCGGAGGTTATTCAAAGAGGTGCCTGAGTCTGAGAAACTAATTGCAGGTGAGACTGGTAGAGGGAGACAGAGAGATAAAAAAAAAAAACCCGAAGGAGGCTCCTTGGTGTCACACGTAAAATATGCAAATACAAAAGTGTTGTTCTCAGCGATGAATGGCACGTTGCTTCATGAACTGGTAGATTCTGACTGTACACTTGTTGCCAGGTGTGAGGACAGTCGCAACAGCCGAGACAGACAACAAACACCTCAGCACGCCAACGACACTAATCACTGCTGTCGGAAGTTTATGGGCATTTGGAATATCTGCAACGATTGAAGTTCATGATAACCTTCTCACAACCCCAATTTGTAAACGCCTGGGTCTCACATAACCAGGATTTACCTTCTCAGGTAAGTAGCCTATTCTGTAGACTAGGATATGAGAAAAGCCTTTGATAAGTCTTTCTTTCATACTTAGTCTTTACTATGTTTTTTTCTCTTAATGTTCTGTAATGTTTCTGCCAAGGTTAGCATCTGTGGTTCAATGAAGAACATTCCATTTTTATAAAAGGTTCTTTATAATGGAAAAAAAGTTCTTTAGATAATTAAAATGTTCCTTATAATAAGAAAAAATGGTTCATTTAAAGGTTCTTTGGGGAACCAGAAATGGATTTTAATGGAATCGATGAGAAAATCCTTTTTAAACTTTTTTTTTTGAGAGAAAGAGAGAGTTTAGAATGTCTGCAAAACTAAGTATTTTCTCCCAACAGTATGTTTTGTTTTAATTTGCAGAAAGAAGTTCTAAAATGTTTGTGGCACTGTCAAATAAAATAAGATAGTTTAGTGAGCTTATTGGTTTAGTTAATAGCCAGTATCAATCTAACTTATTATTCAATGAGAAAAACATTTATTACCTTTAACAAATTGATATAGAAGCCACTAAGTTTTACTTCGCCAGGCGAAAGACATGACCAAAACACCTAAACAAGTGACAGCCAATGAGCTCACACAGGACAACAATCAATCTGGGGAAGGCAAATGGAGCTCAGAAGAACAAGAGGTGAGAATGAATATGCACGCTTTTACTAAGATTAAATTGGTAGAAGTCACATGGCAGCACTGTATTTACTTCCATTTATAGATATGATCTTTAGCAGAATGATATTGTACAGTTTGCTGTACTTTGTCCTGCAAAAGATTACAGACACTGTATCATGATGAGATTACACAAATGGCATTGATTGTTAAATGTTGTGAGATATTAGTAAGCTCTTGGGCATGTGAAACGTGTTGTTCCTGGGAGCATGCAGCTTTTAAAGTATCTATTTCACAGATTCACAAACATTGTATGTATAAACATGTTTATTTATTTATTGCTGTGTTTTACCTCACAGGTACTAGAAGTCAGTGGGCAGTGCATAGCAGCACCTCAGTCACCTGAAGCATTGCTCTACACTAGTTATAAACAGAGGAGTGACGAGTTTCGGAGGTTATTCAAAGAGGTGCCTGAGTCTGAGAAACTAATTGCAGGTGAGACTGGTAGAGGGAGACAGAGAGATAAAAAACAAATAAACAATGTAAAAATATACTCTACTGAAAATGTTGGTTCGCTGAGCCACAATATTTGTATATTAGATGTTGTTTGAATGATCCGTCTTTTCCCTAGACTACACCTGTGCTCTCCAAAAGGATATCTTGTTACAAGGACGCATCTACCTTACAGAGAATTGTTTATGTTTCTACAGTCAGGTTTTTCGTGGTACAAAAGTGAGTTCCACAGAAAGATTATATTATATATTCACTGTACCTCTTAAATGCCGCTATACTTTGTTAGTAAATTCTTTTATAGATTCCATCGCTCTGCTTTGTGAAAAATGACAATAAACTAACTTTATCTTAGATCACAGTAAATATGCAGGATATCATCTCATTGTCACGTGAGAAGACAGCGAAATGGATACCAAATGCCATCCAGATCAGTACTAATTCAGAGAAGGTGAAGTTCAGAGATCAAAGGTTTTTCATTCTTTTCTTTTTTTCTTATTTATGAAGATAGGCTACATGTATATAGGATAAATTCTTTTTTTCTGACAAAAATATATATTTTGTAATTTTCCACAGTTGTTCTTCAGCTCATTTTCAGCAAGGGAGAAAAGTTACCTTGGTATGTTTCGGCTTTGGCAGATTATTCTAATGGACAAGGTGATTTCTTTCTTTTTAACATTTTTCTTTTTTGCCTCACTAACATTGTTCAAACATGTTTCCACATGACAGATGATTTCATTATTCTTTACATGTTTACATCTACCTGCTTGGTTGTACATGACTGTACATTTCTACTGTACAACAGGCTATTCTGAAATATGATCTGAAATAGGTATGTATTAGGAGCAGGGATATCAGAAGCAAACAGCATATTCTCCATTATCAATTTTACAGTATTTAGTCAGTCTCCATTGCCAACACAAACTATTTCTCTGTATTTGAGCCTAGGGTGGTTACTAATGTGGCATATATTAATACCATGTGAGGAAAACAGACAGAATAAAACCCTAGTATAGACCTAAGGTCAGGGATATGCTTAAGTGCAAACAACCTAAATCTGTAGTGTAGCCTATACTTGACAAAGCAGCAAATGAATGTATAGTTCATTGACCCCACCGAGGCGTGGCTTTCTTCATCTGAAACCAGAAAATACTGACTCTTTCCTTACACTAACGCGGAACTGCAGATCTGAAATAACAGGAAAATTAGTGTCGAGATATGATAAAGCAGATATGCTGTTAAAGGTAATGAATAGCCCACCACTAGGCGGCGCGGTTGTAGCTTTTCATGGCTTCCTGATTTCAGCACGAGTCGCTCGCTGGCTTTATGAAAAGCATAAAATGTTTTCGCTTCAGTTTGTTTTGTAACGTAATTGTCTGTCAGACGGCCTTGAAACAGTGTTTTGCATTTCGTTGTGATTGTTTGGCCGCTTTTTTAACACGACGCGAATGTTTGTGAACTTGAAATTATTTTTCCATATTGCTTTATTGGCGTTTTTCAGTCACTTTTTGTCGAGTAACTCTTGCCTATGTCCGCTGATACGGTCTATTTACGTTTACAGTGTGTGTCGCTGTAACGTCTCTACGTCTTATTTCCATGGTAACTGTAGTTTTCTTAAATTATCGTTACGACTGCGGAACCATAAATTACAATGGAATGAAAATAAAAAGTAAATTTGTCAAATTCAGGTTTGCTCTCTGGTCAGTGAGGTGTGAAGCAGGTTAGGGCTGTTTTATCTGCTGGTTTAGATGAATATCAGTACGGGAACTTGAGGCTTCAGCGAATTTCTTTTTTTTTTAGTTATTTTTATCAGATAGAAGCAAACGTGCCAACGGTGGGGCGGAAACATGTGAGTGTACTTTGCTCAATGTAACTTTCCTGTCTTGCAGAAACTAACCAAGTTGGAGCTGTTGCAGATGGTTAAGCAGCATTATGGCAATGATTTAGGATTGAGTCATGATGAAATGGAAAGCTTTCAAACATCAGTAGATACCGTCACACCCACCGTGCCCAGGTTGACTACATACTTGCACACACACCCAGTCACATCTTCACATGTCAGCACCTGTTTGGACAACTGAGAGATCAGTTACTTGGTTTTTAGGTCCCATCTCTCTGTTGCAGTCTGAATATGCGTGGAGAGGATTACACTGGGAGGCCAGAAAGGCCCACATCTCTTCGTCTTCCCCAAGGGGAGCTGAATTCTTATGAGGCCACCACACCACAGGGAGACGACACACAGTCTTCAGTTGGACTGCAAAGCATGCTCTCAGCAAATGGAGGGGTATGTTGAAAAATATAGTTTCGTTGGCAGATGGATTTTTCCTAAAATTGTTTGTGGAAATGACTGGTAGGGTTGGGTGATACAGTGGAAAAAAAATCTCAATACATTTCAGTCTTTAAACTATAAAGTAGGCAACAATTTTACTTGAGAACTAGTTTAAGATTTTGCCAGAAAAATGTTAACATTACTACAAAAATATATTATACATAAAGATTGTTATATAATTTTTTTTAAATTTCGTATACATTTCATTAAAGGATTGTTATTAAGAATATGCAGCAAAATCACTGTGAATATATCGTGAGTATTCAATATATCAATGGTCAACCTTATGGTCATCTTTTTGCACTCTGCATTTGATTTGCTTAGAAAGAAAGAAAAGTACAATGTCTTTAAAGCGGAGTTTAAGGTGTTGAACTTGATATATGTATTAAACTCTCAACAGGACGACACTCTCAGTACCCCGTCCCATCAGCGCAGTCCAAATCTATCATTAAACCGCTCAGGGTCTGAACGAGTGTCTAAACACTCCTCTCTCTCGCTGGATCTAAATGCCAATGAAGACCAGCTCTCGGAGAACAGCAGATCCGACAGCCTGGAGGAGGGTGAGATGTGTGTGTGTGTGTGTGTCTTGGCTGTGTCTCATTCCATGGCAGTGTTGATGCATTTTGTTTACGTCAGTATTGATTTCTTGTAGTGGAAGAACGTGAGACAGCATCTCCGGTGTCTCAGGGAAGGCTGTTTGTGAACCGGGTCTTTCACATCAGTGCTGAGATGATGTTTGACCTGCTTTTCACCGATTCTAGTTTCATGCGGAGGTTTATGGATATCAGGAAGATCATAGGTGTGTTTCTCTTAGCCTTTTACCTCTCTTACTAATGATCTACTTTAGTAATCAGTCCGATTGCTATATAGATGTGATTGGTAAAAATTGTAGAAGTTTTCATTTCAGCATATAGTAGACTTTGGTCCTCCAGAAATATTGTCATATTTTAGCAATTTATTTTGCTAGTATTATTTATGTACTATTATAATATTTATTAAAATGTTGAAAAGTTTGATTCATTTTTTTGTTTTTATTTAACGTTTAGTTTTAGTAATTGTGTGGTTTTATCATTTTAGCTTTTATTTACATTTATTTATTTTCAGTTACATTCCAAGGCAACATTTCTGAGTTTTATGTTTAGTTCTATTTCACTTACCAAAACAATGTTTAATAGTATTTTAGTTTTAGTTAAAAATACCAACATTGATTTTTACATTTTATTGTTTTGCCATCCTGTTTATAGTAACAAAAGTGTATTACCTGTCAGGTGCAAGCTCTACCTCTTGGCAAAGGGAGGCCTCTGGCGGTATGAAAAGGACTTTGAACTACACCATCACCATTAATAACCCCCTGGCTGGCAAGTTCTCCACTGCTACAGAAACCCAGGTTAGAGTCTCTTTGGCTTTGTTTCAAAATCTAGCAAGCTGATTTGTCAAAAAAAAATTTTTTAATTGTCCAAACAAAAAAAAACCTTATGAAAAGGCTGTGTTTTGTTGGTTGCACTTTCAGTTAATGTGCAGTATTTGATTGTCACATTTATATTTAGAGACATAGTTAGCAGGAAGGAGCTGCCGTTGTGGATCACAAGTATCTGTGAATTCTGAGTAATGATGGGACCTTTGATCATTTTAGTAATATTAGCACCTGTTGTTGCCACTTTTATCTTGCAAATGTCTTGTCTTGGTTAGTTGTCTGTGCTTTGTCAATTGTTTGTTTTTGTGTGAAATTAAATCCATGAAACAATAAAGTAGTTTGCCAGAACTATTTAAACTGAACTTAACATACATTGTGGCCTTTCAGCTCTTGGTCTGCGATGCATAGAATAATTTTAAAACATGTAATCGCTGTTGTGTTTGTGTAAGACAGTTAATTAGACACTAGACAGCTTTTGTTTCCATTTATATTATGCAACAATTAACATTTTTAACAATAAAATGACTAGGCGTGCTGACAAAATCACCTTCATCCAATTATTTGATCTGATTGTTCTAATTGCACTTTAAAGTTGATGTAATCAATTAGATGAAATAATCATGTTTTATGCAGTAATGACCTGTCTGATGACTGTCTACATTCATACAATGAATGTGTAGGATTGACTCTCAAATTGTCTTGTACATACAGCAGCGCACAGGATTAAATAACATTGCATAATATCTATATGGACACGTAACCAAAGTCAATATAGCCTTGATTAATGTATGTAAAAATTGCTAGTAAATATATAGACTTTGTCTGGTGTCTTTAAAGATTTCATTTGTATATTTGTTTATAGTCATAGTCTTGAATATTTAAGGTAGTCACTTTGTCCAAAATTTAAAGGAGACAGTGTATTTCAATCCTAAATAAACTGAACAGAACCATATTTAGCAATCCAAACTGTACTGACATCTGTATTGTGCAGCTGTGTAAATTCATCCTGTGTATGTATGTGGAATATTTTCTGATTTCTCTTCTTTGTGTATTTTAGACACTATATAAAGAGTCGAGGGAGGGTCAATACTACATGATAGATTCGGAGGTCTACACACATGATGTACCGTACCATGACTACTTCTACACCCAGAATCGCTACTGTATCATCCGCAACTCCAAGCACAAGTGCAGACTCAGGTAAGCGGTGTCCTCATATCTGTACATCTAACTGCTTTTATTATGACTATGACACTGACATCTCTTGATGTAAGAGCAATTTAGTAAATAGTTGAACTCATTATCGCTCTGTGCAGGATTTACACTGATGTCAAATACAAAAAGCAGCCCTGGGGTCTTGTTAAATCCTTTATCACGAAAAACTCCTGGAGTGGCTTAGAAGACTACTTTAGACACCTTGGTTGGTATAATGCAATTTATTTACCCTCTATTTTCCCTCTTCACTTATGTGTTTTACTTCTTGGTTTGTAGATTATGGCCATTTTCTACATGACTGAATGCCACTAATTATATCTAAATAATATTGGATCTAAATGTCACTAATTATATCTTTACATGTTTCTTGTTTCACTTCATAGAGTTTGCAGGGTAATTGTAGTATTTTATAAAATAAAACTAAAACCATAAAAAATCTTAATAAAATAAGCATTTACTGAAATAAAATAAAATATAAAAACAACTTAAACTTTCTTGTCATTAACTTGATGTACTAAAATAATTAAACTAAATGCAAAGAAAGGCGGCGTAACTTTTTTTCTCGCTGTAGTATTGTTGCTGCCAGCCGCTCCTTCGTCGAATCCGCCGGCCGCCGCTCACTCAAGCTTGCTGTGTGTGACGCTGTGTTTCGTTGTTAATGTTCTTTTTAGCAACATCATATAACCCCTTTAAAAAAAATAATAATAAAAAAGACAAAAACACAAAAAATTTAACTAAAACTTTAAGATTAAAATTAAAACTAAATGTAAATATAAGCTCTTTCAAAAGATTAATTAATATTAATAAAAACCTATAAAAGTACAAGTAGCACTGCTTTATAGTGGCCCAGTCTGCAATCCATTGCTTTGTCTGAGTCTGCATATATCCTTCGCTGCAAAACAAATCAAAATCAAAACAAAATAACGATCTAAAGCTATAGCCCAAAACTAATGTAGATCAGTTAAATGAGTAGAACTGCAGACTGTGCTCAATGTTTTTCTCATCGACTGGAAAAAAAGCTGGCTAATAGCTTCTCTGCCATGGGATGTTGGATTAGGGAATCAAAAGAATAATGAACATTAGTGACCTGATCAGAGTGCCTAGGGAGGGCTATTAAGCGGCATGGATGTGTCTGTTTCCTATTGGTGAAATGCATCAGTTAGATCCATTGCCTGCAAGGCCGTTTAATTACTAAACTACAGGGTTGCCGAAAGCCAGATCCCTAATCGATCCAATGACCTCAAAATAACCACTCTGGACTCACAGATTAATGCAGTTTCAATGATCTTCACCTCACAATGCACATTCCAGAGGCAGAGCTGCTAGAAGAGGAGGCAGAGTTGACTCAAGGAAGCGGAGATGCTGGAAAGACGGGTGGTTTGCGCAGGAGGCTAAGAACTTACAGTCGCACCCTACAGGAGCACATGAAACCAGGGAAGCAGTACAGCGCAGACTCAGATCAGCAGAGAGCCGGCACCATGGGTATAAATATATGTGTATTTTTAATCTCTGAATCCAGTATCTATGCTACTGGGTAGTGGGCTTAAAATACTGATTAAACCACCAAAAATCGTTTTCAAACTAATAAGATGTTTATTTTGTGGTCTATGCTTTATAGTATTTAAGCAAACATTGAAGACATTAGCCCCTTTTACACAGTAATACCAGTAAATTGCCGAAAAATTACCGGAACGACTTTACAAGTAAATACAAAAATGCTCACACGGGCAATGACGTTCCGTCTTTTTCCGGTAAAGTACCATTCACACATCGGTTTCAAAATACCGGTAAATTCTGTGACGTCATTAACCAGAAATGACCTCTAAACGGCTGTGCCTCCCGGTGTTGTGTTTGTTAACATGGAGGGGTATATGCAATCAATGTTTTTGTTGATGTTGTCATTTTTGTGACAAACGTTCACATTCATGCAGCGCTTTTGATCAAAAGAATAATGAACATTAGTGACCTGATCAGAGTGCCTAGGGAGGGCTATTAGCGGCATGGATGTGTCTGTTTCCTATTGGTGAAATGCATCAGTTAGATCCATTGCCTGCAAGGCCATTTAATTACTAAACTACAGGGTTGCCGAAAGCCAGATCCCTAATCGATCCAATGACCTCAAAATAACCACTCTGGACTCACAGATTAATGCAGTTTCAATGATCTTCACCTCACAATGCACATTCCAGAGGCAGAGCTGCTAGAAGAGGAGGCAGAGTTGACTCAAGGAAGCGGAGATGCTGGAAAGACGGGTGGTTTGCGCAGGAGGCTAAGAACTTACAGTCGCACCCTACAGGAGCACATGAAACCAGGGAAGCAGTACAGCGCAGACTCAGATCAGCAGAGAGCCGGCACCATGGGTATAAATATATGTGTATTTTTAATCTCTGAATCCAGTATCTATGCTACTGGGTAGTGGGCTTAAAATACTGATTAAACCACCAAAAATCGTTTTCAAACTAATAAGATGTTTATTTTGTGGTCTATGCTTTATAGTATTTAAGCAAACATTGAAGACATTAGCCCCTTTTACACAGTAATACCAGTAAATTGCCGAAAAATTACCGGAACGACTTTACAAGTAAATACAAAAATGCTCACACGGGCAATGACGTTCCGTCTTTTTCCGGTAAAGTACCATTCACACATCGGTTTCAAAATACCGGTAAATTCTGTGACGTCATTAACCAGAAATGACCTCTAAACGGCTGTGCCTCCCGGTGTTGTGTTTGTTAACATGGAGGGGTATATGCAATCAATGTTTTTGTTGATGTTGTCATTTTTGTGTCAAACGTTCACATTCATGCAGCGAGACATCACATTACACGATTTCAAACCAAAATACACAGCGTGGAGTAAATGGCGTCATCTGTGTAAGAATGTTGTGATTGGCCCAGACTAGATGTCTTACGTCACCGCGTTCTGAACTTGTACGTGCTCATGCCAGTAATGTTCATTCTGCGTTTACACACAGTATCATTCCAGCAATTTACTGGTAATTTTACAACGTCTCATACCGGTAAATTGCCAGAATGAATTTACCGGTGTTTTTGAAAAGGTACTGTTCACACATGATCTCTTAACAGTAATTTACCAGTAAAGTCTGTATGTGTGAAAGGGGTTATTGTGTATTAGACTTGGAGCAATTGGACTTGCATTGCATGATTTGCATCTTACATTACAGGTGCCATGGATATAAAGAGCACACAACACAGAAGGAACATCACTTCTATTGTATTTGGGATGAGCTTAATGTAAGGCTTCATTCACTCTATAAAGCTTGTTTCACACCTCATGCATACAGTAAGCTGTGTAAGCTTAATGCTATGACACTGACAAAAAAAACTTGGTTACTACATTGAGTCTTTCCTCCAATAACAACCTAAAATCATGAAATGATTGTTAGAATTTGCCTATTGAGAGTTAATCCTCTTGATTTGCTTAAGGAAGGGGAGCACATTTACATTTAAGTGGTAAATAGTCTACACCAGGGGTGGCGAACTCCGGTCCTGGAGAGCCGCAGCCCTGCAGAGTTCAGCTCCAACCCTAATTAAAACTCACCTGCCTGTAGCTTCCTAGTAACCCTTCAGACCTTGATTAGCTTGTTCAGGTCTTTAAATGGCATTGAGTTTGGTGACCTGACAACACAAGGGTATTCTTCCCATAAGACCTGTCCTCGCTGAGGAGTGTTGCCATAGGTACTGTCACCCCAGGGCACACTCGTAGCCATGTTCATCATCTCTCTGGGCTTTTTTGTTATGGTTGGATGTTTTTTTTTATTTTATTTTCAGTGCTGCTTTTATCTTGGAGGGGATCCTCGCACTGATACACTCAGTTTTTCGAGTTTCCTCTTGGATTTACTAACGACCTTGAAGCTGAAGTTGAAGTTAAGCATTAAAGTAACAACAGTGTAGTAGCAGGTTGAAGCACAAGGGCTTCTCACAATCATGTTCTCAACTGCTGGATGCTACTGTATTTTGAAGGACAGATTTTTTTTCTGGACTACAGTAGAAGCCTTATAAAATAAAACGTCTCAGAGATGTCATGGATTCAGTGCAGTTGCACAGGGTCTTCACTTTAATTATGAAGGGGGCAGTGCAGGCCCATTGCCTCTAAAGCTCTGCCTAACATTTAGTCATGTGGCCTTTTTGTCTTGATTTAGATAATGATCTTGTTCTAAGATACCTCTAAGAATTTGTAAATGATTGCACCTTAAAACCTTATTAAAGCAGGGATCACTAATGACAAATGATTGTGCTTATTGAAATTGTAGAATGTTTGTAAGTTCTGAATGTTCATCATGATTTTAATAGTGTCTAAGAGTACAGGTTTGTGTAAAGATGATCAAATATCTGAGGTTTACTGTAAAGGATGAGTGGTGATGTTTTAAATTGTTTACACTCTTGGTCTTTAAAATACCACTTTTGTTCAACTTTTAGGGACTATTGTCACTGTGAACTAAATTTGTAACACATTCATGTAAATTATTTACAATGGGAAAAGTGTGGTAATTTATCGAAAAAGAATGTGTAATCCTCGAGCATTTAATTCACAGAAAATATGTAAGGGGTGGATGTGTATAATAGATCTCTGTTTTTTCTGCATAGATTAAACATTTTCTTCTGAATTTTTTTATAAAATTTCTTCTGAACCTATTTATAAATAAAATTCCCATGGCATTACAATGTTCAGTTTGTGAAGCTTATGATTTCATAGAGATTTTATTATGGTAACATCAAAATCAAATATCACAACATTATGACTATTCATCCACAGGGGGTGACAACATGCCCCTGAAATCGCATGTTGATGAGTCTCTAAAATAGTTAATAAATAAACATTTACATTTTATTTATTATTTACTTTAAAGTTTGTTTGTTTCTTTCCATGTGTGCTTAATCAAAGGACAGAAAATGAACAAGATAAAGTTTTTAGGTTTTAAAGGGCTGCAGACGTGCATGCAAAGCCCACTATGACGTCACGTCACGTGTACCTTCTGTCAAGGAATTTGAAATGTGTTTTTTTTTTTTTTTTTAAGAA